ATTCTATTCTATTAAATAATCATTTGCAATTCTTTTATGTCCAAATGATCAATTGGTTAAAAGACTTTATTTTTGATCCATTCTATTTGTTTTATTTGAATAGGAATCCTAATTATAAAGGCTTTATTTTTTAATCTGTTATTTTATTCTATTAAATGATCATTTAGACAAATTGTTAATTGGTTAAAGACTTTATTTTTGATCCATTATTTCATTAAATGATTATTTACAATTCTTTTCAATTTTTATGTAAATGGTTAATTGGTTAAAAGATTTTTTCGTTATATTATTTAGGAATTTCCAAAAAAGGAATAAATTCATTGCCTTTTTTGGTAATTAAATAGGGGTCGTGTAATGTTGTTCAAAAAACCGTTCAAACTGTTTAAACCGGTTTTATGAAACCAAACCAACCCCCATCCCTACATTTCAGTGCATGGAACTCAACTTTCTACAATGTCCCTGTCCATCTTCAAGCAATCAAGTTTACAGATGGTGAGCACATTCAAACCATGAAATCATTTATCATTACACAACATTATACAAGATGGTCAAAAAATAAAAATATCACTGCGCCAAGTGTTTCATAGCATTATAATAATAATAACACACGTTCTGATAACATAGCAGGCTTTATCTGTGATTGGTTGATCCATAAAGAAATTGGTTGGATAATTTTATAATATGCCAATCATTATTAAAACTTTCAAGACAATAAAATAAATATATTCTTATAGTGCAGAAGGCCTATAATGGGAACTTAGAAAAATTGAAATATCATGTGATCCACACATCAGATTTTTTCTCAATTTTCAATTTGTAGATCTTTCTTAATTTAGTAATTTTTAATTACAACAATTTATTTAAATTACATTGTTAATTTCATCATAAACCATATCAGGAATTCATCTATGGGATTTATATTTTTTATTTGCAAATTCAGCTACTTTTCCTGTTAGACCTTTTCTGTAAATGTCCATATAATGCCATGATTTTTGTGCATATCTATGTAAAGTAATTAAAGGAACTGAATCTAATGCTTCTGGAACTGTTTTTTGCAGACCAGTCCAGATATAATTACAATTATTACAAGTGTAAAACTTTGCAGCACCCCAATACATCTCTATCCAATTAAGTTCACAGTGATACTTTGGGAAAAAAATGCATTTATGTCCATGTTGCTCAATAGCCTCTTGTAACCTTGATTTTTGAGCAACAAAATCATCTTGCAAAGAAAGAATTCGGCGCATACAACAATCTGTTCTGGTATTATCAATAACTTTAGATTTACCTTTACACTGTTTGCAATCACCAGGAAGTCCTTCTTTCCATAAACCTCTCTCAATCAGAATTTGTTTCATTCCTTTTGGTAAATTTGGGTGCTCTGTATGATTACTTGGAAACACCATTGATTGAAATGTTTTATTGGGTCCAAAGTAGGTATTTCTCATTATTGCTTGTTTCCCTCCAGGTTTAACATTCATATTAATAGCATTCAATCCATCTGGTGGCATTGCACCATGATTGGTGCTGTTATCAAAAGCAAATACACCAATTGCATTAGGATGTAATGCATTAAAAATTGGTATTGCATAGTCAACAACTTGTTCTAAAAGATGATCTGCAGTCCACCAACCTTCTTCATTTTTCCCTGGTCTGGCTTCTTTTGGTAAGTCTGGAAATTGTAAAATTTGACTTTCTGATAATTTAAGCCTACCAACTGTTTCTGTGAGAAATTCACTCACCATTATTGATTTACCTTGGCCTTTCCTTCGTAATGGTTGTTCTCCAAGAGGTGCCCATACTATTGGTCGATCATCATTTGCATAAAACAAACATTCATCATGAACTACAAATAAATGTAATTTTTCATTCTCTAATAAAATAGGATTCTTTTGTTCCATATTCTCACCCTCAAAGATTGGCATATATTTTTCATAAAATTGCATTTCCTCAAGGAACTTTTTCCTATATTCTATGACATCTTCACGTTCATGTCCATCATAATAAATGCCTTTTTTATGTGATTGAGGCTTTAAACCTAATTTATGTAACCAAATGCAAGCTGTTTGATAAGATATTGATTGTGTAGTCTCTATACTTGGAAATAATACCTTGTTAACAAAATCTTTGTATTTACAAGGTGTTACTTTATTGCCATTTGTTCTGACAAAATTTAATGATTGTTCAATCACATCTTCATCATCAATGAAAGACTTTGTTTTCTGATGGCAACCTTGTAATGATTTTGGCAGTGTACCATGGTTTAACCAATATGATGAACATTTTCTTATAACTCTAGATTTATATACTCCTTTTTCATAAATGTCACTGGCTGCTTTCATACTAGCATCAATGGAAGTCATGCCATAATTCTTATAATTGAAATATATATATATAGCTCTATAACATAAATATTCATATGCAGAAATTTTTTTTAAATTACCTGACAAAATACGATTCAAATCCTGTAACTTTTCATCAAAATTAATATGATTCTCCATTTGGTCATCATTATCATCACTATCATCAACATCAGCATCAACATCAACATCAACATCAGCATCAACATCAACATCAACATCAACATCAACATCAACATCAACATCAACATCAACATCAACATCAACATCAACATTATCATCAACAGTATCAACATTAGCAATATTATCAACATTACCATCAACATCATCATCAACAGTATCAACATTAGCAATATTATCAACATTATCATCAACATTATCAACATTATCATTA